GGGAAATGTTCCTCACTGAAGTCCTGTCTTCCTGTACATCAGGGGTCCCACACAACCCTGGAGGTGTATTAGTGCTTTGAGTGCGGGAAATGTCTTCTAGATGAATGTTGCTGGGCATCCCAGCTCTCATGTGGGGAAGAAGCACACCCTGATATACACCTCAGATATACTCCATGGCTGATCTTCATCATGGAAGAAACAGTTCATAAGGAGATCAGAGGTCACCAAAGACACGGATGAAGTGTGGGACCGGGTTGGCCATTGATAAGGGAAGAATAAAAAATGGAGTCAATGTTCTAGCAGAAGCTCTCACAAACACTTGGAGGTCTGATGGAGGTGTGGAAGTGTGAGGTCCTGCCACCGTGACAATGACACAGGGTCCTCCTGGCTGCTGTTTCAGAAGCTCCAATATGTATTTTGTGAGCAGAGAAAACTGTGTTCTAGGTTGTCAGGACCTGGACTTGAAGGTTCCAGAGATTCTTGGTGGGGACAAGACCTTCAGTCCCATGTCCAGGCTTTGCTAGATGCCTGCAGCCTGTGTGAGTACATAGGTGGGCAGGATCATTATAGGCCAGGTCTTCTGCCATTTGGAGACAGGACCCTGTCAGGAGAGCTGGGGGTTCTTGCTGGAGATTGCAACCCTTGTGAGGTGGGATTCCTTGCCCAAGGACTGGGAAAGTCAGGACAGCTCCAAGAGTCTGGGGAACCTGAAGTGGCTTGTGAGTCCAGGGGGCTGGAGGGAGTCCAGAAGTCAATGGAGGAGTGATCAAGCTTGAGGGGGGTGGGGAACCCTATGTAGAGGCCAGGAGTGGACCTGTGTATTGAGGTGCTGTAACCAAGGCTGAGTAATCCTGAAGAAGTCCTAGTCTGGGGGACCAGTGTAAAGATCAGTGGTGCTGTTGAAGTGTAGCCAGGTGAGCTAGCATTTTCAGTTATCTGATAGTTATCTTGATTGACGTGGACTCACTTACAAACATCTACCACAGGAGCTAACAAACCCCCATATCACAGAGGGATTTCAGGAAAATACTGCATTGAGGCCACTAGATGGCGCTGACGGCTATAAGAAATCATTGTGTAAAATAAATGATGGACAGAATTTATCCCGGCGGGCAAATGCTCTTCACATTTGTCCAACTAACTTTCACTTGTGTAGAGATGTGCTGGTTGCTTTAAATCTTAAACAGCAGCTGCAAAGCATTTATTTTTTCTTTTCCCTCTTTGTGAGTGACAGACAGGAAAAGCAGGACTGTGCTCTAATTGGTTGTTGCTACAGCTGAGAAGGATCCACCCATAGCAGCACTGTTGCAGCTGAACGTATGATTGGCTGTGGAGGAAAGGAGAGTGGAAAAAGGAAGAAGAAGCACATGTTGGGGAGGAGACATTTTCAGGGGATCGCATGGAGCAAGGGCTCCTGGTGTAAAGTCAGAGTCTCACTCTCTGAGCTGCTAGAGTCCATGGGCTGGGCTGGGAGTGGGTAGCAGAGGAATTGTTGCTGGAGGACAGTGTGCAAGTCAAGGATTGTCCTGCCTGACACTCAGGATTACCGCCACTCAAGTGCATGTGTCTCTCAAAGTCTGGAGCTGCTCAAAGAGAGAGGATTTATACTACTGTCTAAGGCTATCTAGAGGACAATCCAGAAACAGTGAGTACTCTGTGATGAAAGGGGATTTTGATATTGCTGCATTTGCTGTTCATCTCTGGAGAATAGTCATGAGAAAGCCTGCTCTCTAATTCTCAGAGTGACACAGATCTTGGAAAGCCCAAACTGCTCGGAATTAGCTATTCCTGCTGCTGATTGATGAGAGAACTCTGTCTCTGTATATTACTGGTGACTGTCTCCTCAAAACTTGTGCTGTGGCTGAAAAGTGTGTTTAGTTCAAGTCCCCACAGAAGCTTGCTGCTTTGAATATACGGAGCAAGTGTCAGTACATCAGGATTTCACCTGTATGGTAAAGATGTGTTAAAGTGTTGTTGTTTCCTATTGCAATGTTCACTGGAAGATTCTGCTTAAAGGAGACTGTGCTATCCTGCTACCCCTGGATTACAAATACTCTCCCATGCACAGAGTGAGCGCTCTTCCATTGATTAAAGGGCCCCAACGTTGAGAGACTTTAAGTTTCATCCCACTGGCCAGTGGTTAGGTAGGACATTTCTGCTCTAGATAGTACTGCTATAGCAAATGTCAATAAGCTGCTAAACCTCATTAACTACCTGCCGACCGCAGATAGCCGAATGGCGGCTTCACTGCGGCCGGCCAGTTCTGAGTGGACGTCATATGATGTCCCCCCAGAACGCGCTCTCCTGCGCGCCCCAGGGGGCGCGCACCCGGCGATCTCCATGATCGCTGTGTCCTACGGACACAGCTGATCACGTGATGTGGTAAAAGGCCAATCACAGCGGCCTTTTACCACCTGATCAGCGGGGTCCAATGACACGCTGATCAGAGGGAAATGCAAGTGCCGGTTCTCAGCTGCACTTTCCTCACGCTGTCAGATCATGAGGAAAGTACTGCCGAGAACCAGCAGTTGTCAGAGCGGGGATCGGCACCGATCATCAGGGCACTGATGATCAGTGCCCTGATGATCGGTGCCCAGCAGTGCCACCCACAAGTTCTGCCCACCTGTGCCCAGCAGTGCGCCCACTAGCTCCGCCCACCTGTGCCCAGCAGTGCACCCACCTGTGCCACTCTGCAGTGCCACCTACCTGTGCCCAGAAGTGCCACCTACATGTGCCCAGCAGTGCCACCCACCTGTGCCCACCAGTGCCACCCACCAGTGCAGCCAGTCAGTGCCCAGGGGTTGTGCCAGTCAGTGCCCAGCAGTGATGCCAGTCAGTGCCGTCTATCAGTACCCATCATCAGTGTCACCTATCAGTGCCGCCTATCCGTGACACCTCATTAGTGCTATCTATCAGTGCCGCCTATCCGTGCCACCTCATTAGTGCTGCCTATCAGTGCCCTTTAGTGCTGCCTATCAGTGCCGCCTATCAGTGCCCATCAGTGCTGCCTCATCAACGCACATCAGTGAAGGAGAAAAAATGCCTGTTTGAAAAATTTTATAATAGAAACAAAACTTTTTTTTCTTCAAATTTTTTGCACTTTTTTATTTATAGCGCAAAAAGTAAAGTGCCCAGTGGCGATTAAATACCACCAAAAGAAAGCTCTATTTGTGAGAAAAAAAATGATCAAAATTTCATATTGTCAATCAAAGTGCGGCAGCGCTGAAAGCTGAAAATTGGCCTGGTAAGGAAGGGGGTATAAGTGCCTGGTAGGCAAGTGGTTAACCTCCTTAGCGGTATTCCCGAGTGTAGTTCGGGGTAAAATTTGAGTACCAAGAGCGGTAACCCCGAGCTACTTTCGGGCTTACCATGCGGCGTTGCTCAGGGGGTCCCTGCAGCACTTACCTTGTCCTTCGCTCCCACGATGTGTCCCCTGCAGCGTCCCCGGCCATCTCCTCCGGCCGATGCCGGCATCCAGCTTCCGTGTTCCGGTCCCTGTGACGCCGGGACGTACGGGCGCCGGAACCGGCGGCAAATTTGAAATTTTTTAAAAAATGTCATTTTTTTAAAAATGATTATTACATAGTAAAACATTGCTGTTTCAATGCATTTCACATACATTTTGTCCCAAGTGCTTTGTCCGGCGCCCTGCCTGCATTTTTACTGTTCTTTCTGCTTGGAAACTGAGAAACGTCCATGGCGTCCAAAAAGCGTCCCTTTACGTCAAAATCGGTTTTAGACCAGCTAGAGAACAGCGATAGTAAATCAGAACCACTTGCAGAATTGAGTGATAATGATTTGTGGGGGAAATTCGTCATCAGACACTGAAAACGATTTTGCGACTTTGCTCAGCGATGTGCGAACTTGGCGCTATATTTCACATTTCAGTGTTTTTGGTTTGATTATATTATTGAATTAAATTTATTATTATTATATTATTTTTTTTTATGATTATTTATTAAATTATAATTTATGGTTTCGTGTTTCAAATTTTATCCTACCCGGGATGTTTACTAGACTCTTCTTCGGACAGATTTCAGTGAGTTATTCCTAAAAATTACAGCCTACAATAAAAAACTACATATTTCCATGCAAAAAATGGTACCGCTTTCAGCACAAAAAATCGGAAAGAATCAGACCGCCAGGGAGGTTAACAGTTATTGTTTCATGTGACAATGTCACTCTCATATGCCGCCCTAGTCAGTGTGATACTAGTCAGTTTTTGGAGTCTTTGGCGATTGAATTGTGACTTCTTACTAACTGTGTTATGCAAAGTGGTATTGATTTAGTAGTGGACCTAATTGTCCAGTGCTTATCTGTTCCTGTCCTAATTTATGATGCTGGCCAGCCCTGGAATGTGCGCACATGAAGAAACTCACACTGACACGTTTGGTCTGTGAAAACTTCTCTCTAATTTATTGAAATGAAACCGTGAGTTTATATATGAAAAAATGATGCGAACATCACGTGATAACAGCATAAGCATGATATTAGTCTTTGATTGGTCACTTTACACGAAAACAATCTCCGTCATGGTATAGGTGTGATCTTCTTCAGTCTTATCTTAAAAAGAGAAAAACATTCTTTTGTCTTCCAAATCACACGATGGGAGGGGGTCTGTTCCTGTGAGCAAATATTTCTTAAGCAAGGATTTCTTAAAGTACCACAAAGCCCAGCAGGCAGAAAATATATTCACACAGCATATATATTCATGCTAAACGTTTATAAATATGTGGAAAGAAATAGTAAAGTATAAAAGTAAATATGTAAAAAGATGTGTATAAAAAAGTGTATATATATATTCAATTTGAAATGAAATAGGCATTTTACCAAATCCATCACAGTATCTGTGTTCTATGTACATTACCTGTGTTAAATCAGCCAGTTCTTTTTCAGGGTTTATCTTCTTCAATAAAACCCATAAAAAATATTCTCAGAGTGTCGAAGTGTTCTGGGTATAATCGGAGGTGTCACCAGATTCAGTTGGGAGCTGTACCTAT